TCAGAAGGAGAAGAGGAAGAGCAAGAAATTGAAAACTTATATGAAAATATAATGAAGTAGAACTCCCCAATCTAGCAAAGGAAATAGACATCCACGATGCTCAGAGAGTCCCAAAGAAATCGGACCCAAGGAAGAACACACCAAGGCACATCATAATTACATCACCTAAGATTAAAGAGAAGGAAAGAATCTTAAAAGCAGCAAGAGAAAAGGAGACAGTTACCTACACAGGAGTTCCCATAAGACCATCAGCTGATTTCTGCAAAGAAACTTTGCAGGCAAGAAAGGGCTGGAAAGAAGTATTCAAAGTCATGAAAGATAAGGACCTACATCCAAGATTACTCTATCCAGCAAAGCTATCATTTAGAATGGAAGGGCAGATAAAGTGCTTCCCAGATAAGGTCAAACTAAAGGAGTTCATTGTCACCCAGCCCTACTATATGAAATGTTAAAGGTACTTATCTCAGAAAAAGCAGATCAAAAATATGAACAGTAAAATGACAGCAAACTCACAACTCTCAACAACTGAACCTAAAACAAAAACAAGGAGAAACTAAGCAAACACTAGAATAGGAACAGAATCACAGAAATGGAGAAATCACATGGAGGGTTATCAGCAAGGAGAGGGAAGGGGGATAATGAGGGGAAAGGTTCAGGGAATAAGAAGCATAAATGGTAGGTACAAAATAGGCAGGGGGAAGTGGAGAAGCTAAGGAACTTATATGTATGACCCATGGACATGAACTAAGGGGGTGGGAGGGTTTGTGGGAAGGGTGGTGCAGGGCAGAGGGGACTAAAGGGGAGAAAAATTGGCACAGCTGTAACAGCATAATCAATAAAATATTGCTTAAAAATAAGTAGGTTTTATAAACTACAGAGTGCTATATTAAATTATTAAATTATCACCTCATGTTTTTCTTGATTAGATAAAAAAAATTTTTGACGTTGACCTGGCTCCTTTTCTAGGCTGCATTCTCAGCATTAGCTTTGGATTTCTCCCTGACTAAATCATTTGCCTTTGAGCAGCTTCTGTTTTAGCCCTGGTCTCTTCTCATTACTCACTGGTACTATGGGCTTGCCTGGCTGCCCTGTGTTGACAATCCCAGATTAAAATTTTAAAAGATATTCAAGACAGAAAAGAGAGGACAACATATAATACCTATAATTCTATACATTTTTAATTTTATTTTATTATGGATATTTGCAGACATACATAAGAGTAGAAAGTGATTTCCCACTGTACTTGTTCACTCGGCTTCAGCATTTATCAGTGTTTGTCACATACTCCCCACTTTCTTTTGCTACAGTATCCCTGAGCAAACCTCAGAAATTGTTTCATTCCACTTTCAATATCTATGTCTAATAATCTTTCTAAAATATATATAACATTAATAATTCTGTATTACTCAGTCCATTTCCCCCAGTTATATCAAAAGTGTTTTTTTTAAAGATTTTATTTATTTATCTTTAGAGGGGAAGGGAAGGAGAGAGGGAGAGAAACATCAATGTATGGTTGCCTTTCATGCATCCCCTGCTGGGAACTGGCCTGCAGGGAACCTGCCTGCAACCCCGGCATGTGCCCTGACTGGGAATCAAACCGCGATTGTCTGGTTCGCAGGTCTGCGCTCAATCCACTGAGCTACACCAGCCAGGTCAAAAGTGTTTTTATTTTTGTTTTTAACAACATGTGTTCAACACATGTGTTCAACATGTGTTTAACAACATGTGTAAGTTGATGTGTTCAACTTACAATACAAACAAGGTTTATGTATTGTATTTGGGTGATATGTCTCTTTAAGACTTGTAAAATCTGAATATTTTCCCAGTGCTTTAAAAGAATTTTTGTTATTCAGGCATGATATATATGCAGTGAAATGCCCAAATCATAAGGACACAACTTAGTAATTAGAAAAATAATACACATTCATATCCTTGTAACTACCACCAGTGCAGAACTCCCTTATTTTGTTACTACCATTTGAATGATTCATTAAGGCGCAGACTGTTTTAATGCTCAGAAAATATTTTTATGTTTATTTCATAAAGTCATAATTCCCAGTAGCCTAAGCTATGTTTATCTTTTTTAAATGTTGAAAATGCCCATGGAAAAGCTATGTTCCATTAGCATAGATAATGTGTAGGTTAAGAAAACAGTTAATATCTTTGACTGCAATTTTGTCAGTTCAGTGTGTAATGTGAGTTACTTTCTGAGAATTATAAGCACTAAAATCAATAGTGCTAATTAGCAGTCATAGGTGTCCTGATTAAAAATGAAAAGCAAAGTAATTTTTCTGAGGGAATTATCTTTGTGGACAAAAGTTTTCAAAAGTAAGGATCAACTGGCAAGAAAAAATAATAACCATTGTCACAGAACCAGAGAATTTTAGTTTTGATATTTACCTTAGAGATAATTTCAGCAACCCCCTCCTTGAGTAGATGAGGTAAAGTATGTGGCTGTTAGAATCTTTCCTCAGAGCACACAGGTAGCTATGGTTTGTTTGTATAGAGTTTGTTTTAAATCACCTTTAATTTTTTACTTAAATTTTTTTATTGTTTTAAATCACCTTTAATTTTTTACTTAAATTTTTTTATATCACGTGAAAAGTGAATTTTTCAGGTTCTCATAGGACAGCCCCTGCCTGCCAGTATGATTATTTGTGCACCATTGCCATATTTATCGTAGTGTAGTATTTGCATGTTTTGTTGTCCATTGCCCCTATTTTAAAAAATAAGGAGAAAACTGAAGAATGAAGGTACTGTTACTAGTGATAAGAAGTATAGGTCACATATATAACTGAGATGATGGTAGAAATCATCAGGCATTCTAAATATGCATTACTGTCAGCTTCAACTGTATATGGGATACACACCATTAACTGTTCAACTTCGAAGGAAAACAAAGTTAAAGACAAAATGCTTGAAATAGCTCACCAAAATCGTCCTAACATTAATTAAACATGTAATTAGGGATTCAAATGTTTTTAGCTCTATTGGAAAAATTCATATTTTACTTTGATTCATTTGATATTTGTACATTTTCTGGAAGTCTTTGTGCATTAAAGTAGTTGAAGAATGCCTTTTGCATGACTATAGAAAATACATCTTAAGGGTTTTTTTCCTCCAGTTTGTAAGTTCCCAATTGGTGTGACTTTAAAATTGTGCTAGTTTTAAGTGTATTTATTTCTATTTTAAGAATTCTACATTTATTAAGTATAATAAAAAGTTAATTCATACCATCAGAATATAAATATTCTATATCTTCTGGAATATGGAACTTAATGGACCGTAAGAAACCATTTCTTCTGATTCTTCCCTCGGTTTATATGGCAAGCCTTCTCCCAACACAGAATCATCCTTTGTCCTTCAGCCTCCATCTGCCTGAGCAGACTAGCACAGCTAGGGGAAGGCACTCGTGCCCCACTTTCATTCTGGGAGGGATGGACCAGTGGGCTCTTTCCTTAGCAATTAGTAGAATATCAGCAATGTAACTATCCCAGTGTTGCAGCATATACAACTTCATTAACCCAAGAGAAAATTAAATTGCATCAAGACACTGTTGTAATTATGGCAAGAGAGACTTCTACTTTGGAGTTACATAAACAGAAGGGAATGTCAGTGTCTCCCTACCCTAGAAGTGAGATATCTTGGAGAAACTGTCAGTCAGGGCCAAAGAAGAAATTCCATGATAGCTTGCTTTAATATTTCAATAAATTCCATAAAAGTAGTATACATGAAAAAAGAAGACAAAGCTTGATGAAAAGGACATGAATGCATCTCCAATGAACAATAAGCTAAATATTATCTGCAGAAATTTGAATTTAAAAGGCCAGTCAAAAAGGTTGAGGATTAGGGAACACTACATTTTGTCTAAGTGAAATGTAGAAATGGTTGACAAAGAACAATGAACAAAACAAAAACTGTTAGGAACAGTACCTTTATTTCCTTGATGATAAATGTGAAGGTTTAGAGAGAGAGTCCTGCAGCTATTGAATGGCTCAATTTCATAACACGTAAGTATCTAGAAACTTAACCGTTACATTACTCACATACCAAAGAAGATTGTGTAAATTCCAGAAAAATTACTGGAATCTGTTTTCCCCCCCTCCTTCAAATTCCTCTATCTATACCAATGATAAAAATATTTTTTCTTTTTTTACTGTATTTTTTACCATTTGTCTCACACCTGTGCCATCTCCACGTGCCCCCGCAATCACCAATTGTTGTCCATATTATTTTTAAATAGTCTCATTTTGTTCTCAGAATTCATATTAGCCTTTGCTACAAAAAGCTGATCATACAATACCTTTCTGCTTCTTAGTTGTTGTTTTTAATTCAACACCAGCTCCAGTGACTTTTGAAAAACAGATTTGGTTAGTGCTTCAGATCATTTTTTTTTCTTCCAGTCTATTACAAAGAAACAAAATGTAATTTAAAATGTAATTTAAAGAAGTAAACCATATGCACTGGCACTAACAAGACCTAAAATAAATTAATCTTATGTGTTACTTTAAGGAAAGGAATGAATTTACAGAAAATATAACAATTCTAGTGATGGGTACATTGTTAACGTAATACACAACCTGTTTTCAGGAACCATGTAAAATCAAGACACCACTAGGATGAATAGTGGAGTGACAGTGGCAACATAAGTGACAAATTTATCCTGTTATGAGATTATATAGTGTTTAGGAGGTGATATGTTTTAAAATGGGATCTAAAAATACTCATCAAGATAAAATTTGAATATTTAACAGTGGCTTGTTATTACTTTAACATTGCATTTATTTAAATCATGTACAGCAAGGTTTCTCCATGTATCCATCACTTAGAATGTTTTAACTTCTGTAAAATGTATCAAACAGCAGATAGAATTATGGATTTATATACAAATGGTCCCAGTATTTTGAGAGTTTGCCTAGTTGTATTTACTTCTAATATATTCATCAATGAGAACAAATCAGCCTACTGACTGTATTGAACTGTAAAATTTTTCTTCAAAGGATACTGTGTGAAACTGTAAAGGACTTCATTGCCAAAGTAGAGAAGGCATATGAGAAAACCTTGGAAAACGCCGTTGTAGCTGATGCCGTGGCCAGTAAAGTAAGGATGCGTGGGGGGCGTGGAATAATTTCATTGACAGTGTTAGCATTGAATTTGTTATATAGCTAAAATGATTAAGTGGTTTTCCTGCCAAAATATTAGAAATCAAGAGAAAAATTACTTTTGAATCACATACAGTGTTTTAAAAACATTGTATTTTAGGGTAACCCTTTAAGGGGTAGGAAAACTATGTTGCTGAAGACCATCTGACAAACCGAATTTTATAACACAACTTCCCGTGCCAGTGGATTGGCACCTGGAAGAAGAAATGTACAATAGGTCCCTGGGGGAGAACGCTGGGTGCACAGGGTTCCAGGGGAGAGCGAATGGCCTTCCGTTTCATTGGCCAGTCAGGCACCCTCTGAGTACAGTTCCTCACGTTCCCCAGACTTCCGTCCTCCGTACCTTTCAGCATTCTGTTTTTATCTTTATTTTTATAGATTTCTTTCCCCTTCATGAGTTTTCTGAGGCTAAAATGAGAGTAGTTTACTGAACCTTAAAAGCTGCTACTGTGTTTGTTCTCATGAGTTCATAGCAAGGCATTTTTACAAGACTGGGCTCTCTTGGGCTTGCAAAAAAATGATCTCCCCGAAATTCATGCTGTAGATGGTGGGATAATTGAGTGGAAGAAAAAGAAAATACAAATAAATGTACATTTGAGCTTTTTAGCCTTTCTCTTGTTTTTATGCTCTGTGAAGAGCTTCAGAAAACAGAAACCCTCTCTAGTGACAGTTTTCTAATTGTATTTTTTCCATTACCTTTTATCCCCCCCTTATATCATCCTCCCCCGTGTTATCTATGTCCATGGGTCCTTTTTCCTTTTTCCTCAATCCCTTTACCCCAAACCCCCACCCCAAAGCGGTCATCCTGCTTTCTCTCTGTGACTCTGTCTCTGTTTTGCATGTTTACTTTGTTCATTAGATTCTACACATGAGTGAAATCATATGGTATTTATTTTTCCCTGACTGCCTTATTTCACTTAACATAATGCTTTCCAGGTCTATCTATGTTGCTTTTTTATGGCTGAGTAGTAATTCTGTTGTGTATATGTATCATGGTTGTTTTATCCACTCATTTACTAATGGACACTTGGACTCCTACCATATTTTGGTGACTGTAAATAATGATGCAAAGGGCATAGGGATGCTTATGTTTTTCTGAATTACTATTTTGGGTTCCTTCAGATATATTCCCAGGAGTGGGATCACTGGGTCGAAAGGAAGATCCATTTTTAGTTTTTTGAGGTACCTCCATACTCCTTTCCACAGTGGCTGCACCAATCTGCATTCCCACTAGTAGTGCAAAAGGGTTCCCCTTTCTCCTCATCCTCGCCAGCACTTACTGTTTATTGATTTATTGATGATAGCCATTCTGACAGGTGTGAAGTGATATGTCATTGTGGTTTTAATTTGCATTTCTCTGATGATTACTAATATTGAGCATCTTTTCATATGTTTATTGGCCATCTGTATGTCCTCTTTGGAGAAGTGTCTATTCAGGTCCTTTGCCCATTTTTTAATTAGATTGTTTGGTTTTTGTTGATGGGTTGATTTGGGGGAGGGTGTGGGGGGGTTCGATGTTGAGTTTTGTAAGTTCTTTATAACTTTGGACAATAACCCATTATCAGATATATCAGCGAATATATTCTCCCGTTCCATGGATTGTCTATATTGTTGATGATTCCCTTTGCTGTGCAGAATTTTTTAGTTTGATGTAGGTAGTCCCATCTGTTTGTGGTTTCTTTTGTTTCCTTTGCCTGAGGACATATATTACAAAAATATTGCTATAAGCAATGTCTGAGATTTTACTGCCTATGTTTTCTTCTAGGATTTTTATGCTTTCGGGTCTAACATTTAAGCCTTTGAATCCATTTTGAATTTTTTTGTGTATTGTGAAGAAGATGGTCTAGTTTCATTTTGCTGCATGTATCTGTCCAAATTTACCAACACCATTTACTGAATAAACTGTTTTTAGCCCATTGAATGTGCTTGCTTCCTCTGTCAAATATTTTAGTGACACTTTTTTTCCACATTTTCTGCTGTAACTTTGTCTTGGCCTGTCATCAAAGACAAATAAATGGAGAATGAAAGAGTGAGGTTCAGTCCTAAATGTTTCTGTGCCCCCAGGAATTCAAGGAAAGCAGAAAGAAACAAGGGCTGATTGCTTTTGCATTTTCCTTTTTGCTCTTGCTTTGAGCCAATGATTCTTTAAGCACTGTTCACTCCTTTGCAAACCAAAGCTTTGAAGGTGAGCTTACCAAACCTCGATCTGCAGCTTGTAATGCCCAAGATGGTGCCATAAGTTGATTACCTTAAAAAAGTACTTATGTGATATTTTGTATAATACATAGCAAATTTTTTATAATACATAAAATTCTCATACAATGGTCATTTTATTTTTTAAGGTATTTATTTATTTATTTTTAGAGAGAGAAGGGAAGGAGAAAGAGAAGGAGAGAAACATCAGTGTGTAGTTGCCCAGGCAGGTGCCCTGACTGGGAATCAAACCTGCAACCCTTTGGTCACAGGCCAACACTCAATCCATTGAGTTACACCATCCAGGACCAATGGTCATTTATAGTAAAGGGTTTGTTGTGTTGTTGCTGTTGTTGTTGTTTTAAGGAAAAATAGCTATTCCAAGATTTTCACCCATGAAATGGAGGCTGAATGGTTCTGAAGTATAAATTTATACTTTCAGAACCATTATAAATTTTATACTTTCTGAAGTATAAATTTCCATAATAATTGTGGTTTTTTAAATTATAAATTATTTAGTCCATGGGTATGTAAAGTAATATGTAATAGCCAATTAATGGTAAACATTAGTATATCACTTTTTTCCTCTAATATCAGAAATCATTCATTTAAATTACCTTTTTTTTTTAATCCACTAAAGGAGATTCATTATGACATTTTTTGTTTTCTTAGTGTTCAGTCCTAAATGAGAAGCTTGACCAACTGCTCCAGGCTTTGCACACAGATTCCCAGGCTGCTCAAGTTTTCCCAGGCATTGGCTCTGTCATTGTAGAAGAAGATACTGTGGAATCTTCAAGTGAAGAGTCCTTATGTGAAAGCAGGGAACATCTCTTGGATGACACTACAAAACCTTCCTGCCAGAAAGCAGTCAAACCAAAGGAAATAATGATGCGGGCAAACAGTTTAAAGAAAGCAGTGAGGCAGGTCATTGAAGAAGCAGGAAAAGGTACACGTTAACAAAATTGGCTTTTAAAGAAGTTAGCAACATTCTCATTGCAAACAGTGAAATTTTTGTATTGCTCAGACTGGACACACTTAAAAAGTTTGTATTTTTTTAAAGACAAAATAAAAGGTAAAGCTATTTAATTTTAAGAGTTTATAAAAGCTCTGCCTATAGTTTAATTTTTATGTTAATATATATACTCTTAGAATTTTTATAGCAGACTAAAAGTTAATTGTAACATAGATAATAAGTACCCAAAAAAACTTTTTATAGGTTATAACTTATAATTGGACTTGTATTTCATTCTCTAAAATTTTTGTTATTTTTTCTTCTAATAAAAATGTAATTTTGATAGTTTAATTTTATAATCTCTAACATTTACAGATAATGCCCTAAGTTTGTTGCCAATTAGTGTTTATTTGTGAATATGGAATTTATTTTGATTAATGTTCCAATTTTCCTTTCCTGAGCATATATTGATATTCATAGATTTCATTTTTTCTTGTTTAAACATATTTATCTTCTTATTACTTAAAGTTATGGAAGACCAGACAGTTCATCCCTGTGAACCAGTTAATGAGTCATTTGATTATGACAGCACAGAAACAGATGAATCTAAAGAATCTAAAGATGATGATGCAAAAGAGTCATTAACTGGTAAGAAAACTACAATGAAATTATTTTGAAATTAAATAAAATATAACAGTGCTTGTTCTTTTCAAGAGGCTTATCAGTTTGGCCCTGGCTGGTGTGGCTCAGTGGACTGCGTGCCAGCCTTTGATCCAAAGGGCCACTGGTTTGACCCAGGCAGGGCACATGCCTGGGTTCCCCATTGGGCGTCACATGAGAGAAACCACACAATGATGTTTCTCTCCCTCTTTCTCCCTCCTTTACCCTCTCTCTAAAAATAAATAAATAAAATCTTTTTAAAAGTTTTATCAGTTTGAAATAAACTATTTGTGTTTTTAATTGTTCAATTAAAGTTGTCCCCATTTTTTCCCCTATCACTCTCCCCTGCCCTACCAACCCCCCACCTTCCACATTTAGTCCTCCTCTCCACCCTCACTCCCCTACCCCAGTTATCTTTGTCCATGAGTCCTTTATACATGTTCCTTGATGATCCTTCCCCTTCTTTCCCCCGTTATCCCTTCCCTTCTCCCCTCTGGGTACTGTCAGTTTGTTCTTTATTTCTATGTCTCTGGATCTATTTTGCTCTTATTTCTTTTGTTCATTAGGTTCCACTTACAGGTGAGATCATACGGTATTTGTCTTTCACCACCTGGCTTATTTCACTTAGCATAATACTTTTACAAGTCTTTTCAAAATGTAAAGCTTAGCGGTTATTTAGACTATTGTCAAGTTCTTTCACATCTCCTTTTCATCATATAGTGTAGAGATTATCATAGTAAACTAAGGACTGTAGGAGCAAACATGTTTAAATGTCTCAGTTTTCCTGAAGAAACAAAACACTTATATAACCAGATCATAACCTATTTGTACCCACATATTCCTTTGAGAACAAAAGCTGCAGGCCCCATATGCATAAAATTTGGCATTTAAATAATTTGTGAGTTCCTTGAGTTCCATTGATCAGTGTGTAAGTGGTTGATAATCCTTATTCCTAAATTAAATTAAAAAAATCATAAGATACCTAGTTATAACCCCTTTACTACTGAAATTAATTTTACCAATAAATTAATATGTAGTTGCTTTAAGAATGCTAACCATTTCGTTACCTTTTAAGTTTGAGGATGGACTTATACTTTATTTTTTTTTATTTTTTAAATATTTTATTTCTTTATTTTTGGAGAGAGGGGATGGGAAGGAGAAAGAGAACATCAATATGTGGTTGCCTCTCATGTGTCCCCTACTGGGGACCTGGCCTGCAACCCAGGCATGTGCCCTGACTGGGAATCAAACCCTGACCCTTCACTTCACAGGCCCATGCTCAATCTACTGAGCTATACCAGCCAGGGCTGAGGATGGACTTATACTTTTTTTTTTTTTAAATATTTTATTTATTTATCTTTAGAGGGGAAGGGAAGGAGAGAGGGAGAGAAACATCAATGTATGGTTGCCTTTTGTGCATCCCCTGCTGGGAACTGGCCTGCAGGGACCTGGTCTGCAACCCAGGCATGTGGCCTGACTGGGAATCGAACCTCGATCGTGTGGTTCGCAGGCCCGTGCTCAATCCACTGAGCTACACCAGCCAGGGCCGGACTTATACTTTTAATATATCATATTGTATAAGGGAAAGATTAATTTAGGAGATTAAAAGCAGAAATTAAAATGTTAATGAAAATGAGGAAATAATATGAAAATAATTACATAGTACTAATGTAAAGTCAACACTTAGAGTGTTTGCAATCATTCCATTTACTTTCATTACATATTAACTTAGGTAGATTACTACTCTGTGGCTTCCTCATCTGTAAAATGAGGATAATAGTGTAGCTGCTTCATAACATACCCACCCACTTGTAAGGATTTAATAAGTTCATATATATAAAATTCTAGAATAGAGACTCATACATACTGCTATCTGTATGAGTATTTGATGTCATTATTATTACTGCTACTACTGCCACTGGTACTGATTACATTAACTTTGAAAAAATATCCCATCATTGTATTTAAAACTCTAAAAAAGACTCAAATTAGACCTTATGGAACTGAACATATTGGCATACAACCAACGCTTGCAAATTCTACAACCTTAGCTCTTTTAGACTTACTATACACCTGTTCCAGCACACAGTCCAGTTCTATAACCTTAGACCTTACTTCCTTAAATTTTCACCCAGGAAATAGTTATTACTCATAAAGTTTTATGTGCAGTGTTACCAGTAATGAGTAATGGCATTTGTGTAGTGCTTTGTAATTGGTTTAAAAGCACGTTATTCCACGATACTGAGGATGACCCTGCCGTGTCATCCATATCCTTTCTCTACACCTTCTATCTTCTTTTCCAGGTTCTCTCTCCTAAATTCCTTTAGCAATCTTTGACTTGATTATTTCAAACTTCTTGTTTTTCTGGTTGCACCCATCTGTTTGGTCATTGTTTATTCTAAAATATTCCCATTTTCAACCAAATTCTCCATTTCTGTAGTGTAATAGCACTGTTATGCATAAACTACTCATTCTGGACATTGTTAGTGTTATAAATAATACCCAAGATTTTTTTTTGCCTTAAAGTATTATATAATAGTACTATATAAGAGTGGACTCCTCATTTGTTTTAGTGGAAGTGATTTTTTTAACCTAATTATAGTAGTTTACACTCAGCTCTGTGAATTTTTATCATTCAGAAATGATGTGAATCTGTCATTTCACCTTGTGAAAGTCTTTTGGAGCTTTATTTTAGCATCTTACATGTACTTCATCTGGAATTCTATAAGCAGCCTTTCCATGTTTCATCCATGAAAAAATGTTGATTCAAGCAAGGCAGACAATGGTGTTGTTACAATATGGTGCTTGATAATTCCTCCTAACACGATGGCTGTCTTTGGAGGATTGGTTTTTCAGCACTCACTGCTAATGGTTTTTCAGCTAGTTATCACATACCTTACTAATACTCTCATGAACTTGACATTTCCATTGTAGTCAGCAAAGGAAACTAAAAAAATGCAATTATAGAGCTATACATACTGATATTGAAATGTGTCTTTAAGGATGCAGTGTTTAATCTTATTTGTTGACGAGTAGTCCAATTTAGTCAGAATCTGCAATAGAAGTGTTTCTGTATTAAATAATTATTTTTTGAAACACAGTCATTGTATTACCATTATTTTGTGTAATAATTCATGTCTGAGACATGCAAGATCAGTATATTTATGTGACTAATGAAACTTTTAAGAAGAAGCATGAAACATTAATTTATTTACTTGCAATGAAACATCAATCTTAGCCACTAAGATGCTCTCTGCTATTTTTCAGGGATGATTATCAAAAGGTGGTTTTTATTAGAAATTAACCCCAGGGCTTTCTTTCATCTGTGGGAAAAAAGTGTATCTGTTCTGTTACCTTTCTTTAGTGCCACTGGACTGTTTTTGAACAAAGAAAAGACAGTGTAAGATTAATATAGTTATTTTGTAATTAGTCCTAGAAAGAATAAAGGTAATTAAGTTTTAGAGTATTTTTAAATTGAGTTTGAGGATTACTGTTTTTTTAAAACACCTGCCAATAACTCCTAAATTAGTTATGCTCTCCATTAAAATACTACAGTTTAGGTAGAATTAAATCTCTTCTTGTTGTTAACTTTGAGAGTAATTCTCTTTTGGAACAAATTTTTAAATGTATTGAGGTTTTATAAAATGTGATAGAACTGTTTGGGGCAAATCATTGCTTTGAATAAATAATTGAGAAAAGGTATATTGCTTTCACTTGAAAAAATACTATTTTTCTTTCCATTTATAGAAGAAAAGGTTAACTCATGTTTAACATATTAGTTCTGAAAATTACATTAATTAAATTTGATCATTCAGTCAACATTTATGGAAAAAGGATTACATAGATAACATGTTTTACTTTTTAAAAATAATCAGAGTTCAGAATTTCTTTGTATCTTTACACATGAGGTGGTCACATTCAAATTATGAGTATTACTAACCTTTAAGTATGGTAGGCACCTCTTTTGTAGTGATCTTCATCTGTTTGAAATGAGAGATCAAGATACCTACCTGTGGCAGAGTTTCTCCATGTAGTAAATCTCAAGAAAATAAAAACAAAATAGTAAAATAGGAAAACACAGTGTAATATCATTTCTGCTGATGGATTTAAACATGTATTAAATTGCTTCATGTCTTGAATTTTTAGGGGCTTGCTTATTTCTGTAACTTTATCATTTTTTCTTTTTAATCTGCACCTTTTGCCAACAGTTAAAACTGCACCTCGGTCTCCAGATAGTCGGGCAAGTCGTTCCCATACTGACTCTGGCCCTGGTCCAACTGTGGCGTCCAACAAAGAAAACCTCCCTGTGCTCAATACCAGAATAATCTGCCCAGGTAATACCCATTCTGATATATTGTCTATTTGTAAGTATTTCTGTGAAGATGTGTAAGTACTAATTTCTCTGAACTACTGAATTGTGCTCTTAAAGATAAATGTCCCTTTAAGGGAATATGCTTAACACACCAACTAGAATCCAGATCCTTAAAATTTTGTGTGTATAAGAGTTGCCTAGAAAGTATTAAAGTACATGTTTATAGGCTCTGCCCTGAGAAATTTTCTTTGAGTAGTTCTAGAGTAAAACCCAGGAATCTGCATTTATTAAGTACCCAAGATAAATGTGATTTTATACTACTTTTTAAGTATCTTCACAGCTTTCCTTTTAGTTTTTTTAAAACTAATTTTAGAGAGAGAGAGAGGAATTGGGGGAAGGGAGAGAGGGAGAGACATCAGTACATCAATTTGTTATTCCACTTATTTATGTATTCATCGGATGATTCTCGTATGTGACTTGACTGAGGATTGAAGATGCAACTTGGAATGCTAGGATGATGTTCTTCTGGGCAACTGAGGTACTTGGCTAGAGCCTTCTTTTTGTTTTAACCCACAGGTCTCTGTGCAATTATTTTTAGACTAGAACACCTTCAAAATCAATGCCAGACCTAGTAAGATGAACGTTCATTGGGATTAGGTTTGTACTAGTGGAAACCTAGTAATTTGTGCAGCAGAGGATGGAGGAAAACATAGATGTCTCAGAGGCCTTCTTAATTACTTGCTGTTTGAATTAGTGAAAATTCTCCCGTTCATTGGAGAGTAGACTGGACCCCAAATTACACCCTGATATATAACACACTCTTGTGTCTTCCACAAGGTATTTTTTAAAGTATATCACAATTCCATAGTAATAGTTGGAAACTTTAGTACCCTCTTTCAATAGTGGATAGAACAAAAGAGATCAACAAGGAAATGGAAGACTTGAAAACACATAAAGCAAGTAGTCCTAATAGATGTTTATAGAACCTTATACCCAAGAGCAGTAGAGTACACATTCTTCTCGAGTACATAAAAAAAAGATTCACCATGTATTAGGCCATAAAACAATTCTCAGTAAATTTTAAAGGATTGCAGTCATAGAAGGAAATTTGGGAAGTGGGGAAATGCACAAATATGTACATCAAAGAAAAAAACCACAAGAGAAATTTTTAAATACTTTACTGTGAATGAAAACAAAAATACATCATATACCAAAACATATTTGGTGCAGCTAAAGCAGTAATTGGAGTGAAATTTATAGCTGTAAATGCCTGTATTAAAAAAAGTAGAAGGATCTCAAATACATAACTCTCTAATTTGATAAACTGGAAAAACAAGAGCAAACTAAATACAAAGCAGCAATAAGAAGGAAATCAATAAAGATTAGAGTGGAAATAAGTGAAATTGAGTAAAGAATACAATATGGAAAACAAACCAAAAATTGATCTGTGAACAGATTAACAAAATTGACAAGTTTTTACACTGACAAAGAAAAGAGAAGATTGAAATTACTGAAATCAGGAATTAAAGAGAAGATATCACTATGGACCTTACAGAAATAGAAAGAATTATAAGGGAAAAGCTATAAAATATTGCATATCAGCAAAGTAGATAACCTAGATGAAATGGACAAGCTTCTAGAAAAATACTACCTACCTAAACTGCTTCAAGAAGAAATAGAAAATCTGTCTGGACCCTAAAACAAGTGGAGAGATTAAATTAATAAGCAAAAACTTTCTGTAAAGAAAAGCACAGGACCAAATTGTTTTCCTGCTGAAGTTTAAAGAAGAATTAACACCGGTCCTTCGTATACTTTTACTAAAACTAGAAGAGGGAGAAACACTTTCTAACATATTCTATGAGGCAAGAATTACCCTGGTACCAAAACCAATCAAAGACATCACAAGAAACCATACATCAATATCTTTGTGAGTAACAACACAAAAATTCCCAATGAAATACTAGCTAATTGAATCCAACAATTTTTAACAATTATACACCATTATCAATATTATCCTAGTGATGGAAGCTTGATTCAATATGTGAAAACCAATCAACATGATATACCATATTAATAGAATAAATGACAATCACGTAAAAATCTCAGGAGATACAACAAAAGCATTTTTAAATATTCATCCTCTGATGGTAAAAACACACAACCAGGAATAGAAAGGAACTTCTTGGCAATTAAAAACCTACAGCTGACACAACACTTAATGGTGAAAGGCTCAAAGCTTTCTCTAAGATTAGGAACAAGACAAGAATGTCCACTTGCCACTTCTATTCAACATTGTATTGGAATTCTTAGCTTGGAAAATAGAAAGAATTAAAGTCATCAGAATTGGAAATGAGGAAGTAAAACTGCTTGTCAGTATAGTTTATGTTTCATATAGAAAATCCTGAAGAATACATACAAACACATACTATTAGAGATAATAAATCACCTGGCCGGTGTAGCTCAGTGGATTGAGTACGGGCTGTGAACCAAAGAGATAATAAATCAGTACAACAAGGTTGCAGGATAAAAAGCTCAATATACAAATAATCATTGCATTTATGTACACTAGTAATGAACAATCTGAACATGAAATTAAGAAAAATTTCATTTACAATAGCATAAAAATAGCAAGAAAAAATAGGAATACATTTAACTAAGAAGATGAATGATCTGAACACCAAAAACTACAAAACATTACTGAAAGCAAACAAAGATCTAACTTAATGTTAAGACATCTGGGTTCATTGATTGGAAGACAGTATTATTAAGATGGCAACTCATCTCAAATTAATTACAGATTCCTCACAATCCCTACCAAAATCCCAACTGCCTATTAGGAAGAAATTGACAAACTGATCATAAATTCACATTGAAATACAAAAGATCAAGAGTAGTTTAAACAATATTGTAATGGAAGAAGTTGAAAGACACACTTCCTGATTTCAGAACTTACTACAAAGCTACAGTGCTCAAGACTGCGTAGAACTGGCTTAATAATGGTGATGTAGGTCAGTAGAAGAGAACTGGAAATACAGAATGTCTACATTTATGGTTAATTGATCTTCAACAAATGCGGTAAGACAGTTATTCAATGGGGAAAGAATAGTATTCAAACACTGGTACTGGGGCAACTAGATATAAACAAAAATTAAGTTGGACTGTTCCTTTACATTACAAATAAAAATGTAAGAACTGTACCTATGAAACCATAAAAGGACAATGTAGCTGTAAGTGCTTATAACCTTGGCATAGCCATTGCTTCCTAGATATGACACCAAAAGCACCAGCAACACAAGAATATATAAATTGGACTTTGCCAAAATTAAAAATATTTCTTATTCGAAGGGCACCAGGAAGAAAGTGAGATGACAGTCTACAGGACAGGAGAAGGTATTTGAAAATAACATATCTGATAAGGAAATATATACAGAACTCAAAATTCAAAAATAAAAGGACAAATATACCAATTTAAAAATGGGCAAAGGATCTGGGTAGTCATTTTTCCAAAGGAGATTTATAAAAAGGCCAATAAGCCTGTGAAAGGATGATCACATCATTAGTTATCAGGGAAATGCAAATCAAAACCACAGTGAACAACCAAGACTACTGTACTGTGCAAGGATCTTATTAAAAATGGAAGGCTAAATAAGGAGTTTCCCAGACACAAAAAAGGCTAAAAGAATATATCTCCACCAAAGCAGCATTGTAAGACATGCTAAAGGTACTGCTTTAAGAAAATGAAGAAAAAGAGAGAGTGGGGTGGGGATGAGAACACAGGTACAAAGAGAGAAAGTGACAATGAATAAGTACCTATCGATAATAACCTTAAATGTAAATGGATCAAATGCTGCAATAAAAAAACACAGGGTAGCTAAGTAGATTAGAAAATATGACTCACACTTATGCTGCCTACAAGAGACCCACCTCTGAACAAAAGATCTACAAAGACTAAAAGTGAAGGGATGGAAAAACTTATACCAAGCAAGCTGAGATTAAAAAAAATACTTATATCATACAAAATAAAATTAAAAATAAAGACCATAAAAAGAGACAAACAAGGTCACTACACACTACTTAAAAGAATAGTCCATCAAGAAGATATAACCGTTGTAAACATATATGCATGCAATATAGGAGCACTCAAATATATAAGTAAAATCTTGGAGGGCTTCAAGAAAGATATCAGCAGCAACATACTCATCCTGTGGGATTTTAACACCCCACTGTCAACAATGGACAGATCTTCCAAGCAAAGAATCAACAAGGATATTATGGCATTGAACAACACTCTAGAGCAAAATTGATGTATACAGAACCTTCGCCCTTAAAGAAGCAAAATATATATTCTTTTCAAATGCACATGAAACATTTTCAAAGATAGACCACATTGTAGAGCACAAAACAAGCCTCAAGAAATTCAAGAAAATTGAAATCATATCCAGCATCTTCTTGGATCATAATGGCTTGAAACCAGAAACCAACCTCCAAGAGAAAAACTCAAAGACATTCAAATACATGGAGACTGAATAACATGCTATTAAATAATGAGTGGATTAACAATGAGATCAAGGAAGAAATCAAATGTTATGTGGGGGAAAAAAGAAAAAAGAAAAACACAACAGTCCAAAACCTCTGGGGCACAGCAAAGGCAGTCTTGAGAGGGAAGTTTATAGTGATTCAGGCCTACCTAAAAAATAAAGGAACATTTCAAATAAACAGCCTAACCCTACATCTATAAGAACTGGAGGAACAACAACAAACAAAGCCCAGAACAAGTAGAAGGAAGGAGGTAATGGAGATCAGAGCAGAATTAAATGACACAGAGATTAAAAAAACAATTCAAAGGATCAATAAATCCAGGAGCTGATTCTTTGAAAAGATAAATAAAATTGACAACCCTTTAACCAGACTCATCAAGAAGAGAGAGGAACCAAATAAAATCAGAAACAGAAGAGAAGTTACAACTGATACCATATGAATCCAAAGCATTGTAAGAAATTAATATGACCAATATATGTGAAG